GGATAGAAAAAATGAAATCAGAAGAAGCTAGAAATCTGCTTCCAAGTCTGAAAAAAGGAAAAGTAGTTCAGCAGTGCTGAAACGTACAAGAAGGTATTTAGATTGCGAACTACCACTCCTGGGGGCTTCCAAGAACTGCAGGACAGCTGGAAAAGGTCTGGGGCACCAAAAAGAGCTTTGGCCAGTTGCACTTTGCCCACCTCAGCTACAGAATACATGCTGTGGATACGTATGGGCAATAGCTGTGTTATCAATGGTAATTAACTCCATCTTTCTCTTGCCAGTTCTCTGTTGAGAACTGTTTTGAAGGGTTTATGAGCTGCAGCTCAATGGTAGAATACATGCTTTGTGTGCAAGACACCCTATGTTCAGTCTAAGTATAGCTGCAGAACACCCCAGTCTAAAAATCTGGAAATTTGCTGCTAGTCATTGTAGGCCAGTGGCTGTCAACCAGTGGTTTACATACCAGAGGTGGAACAGAGAAGTAGTCTAGTTTGGACACAGGATATTTTATAACAATTACTAAGAATTTACTCTTCCTCAGTCCTTAAAAGTTCCCAGTCTTCAAAGCATTTGCAATCTTATCTGTATATTAACAGCCAGCTTGAAAAAATGCAGCCAACTGGTTGCAATGAATTAAATTTTTTGAAATTTTACACTCTTATTCTAAAAAACAAAAGCCCTCAATGCTATTTTCGGGGGGAAACCATGATAAAACACCAATGGCAGTAACAAAGAACATTAAAAGCAGTCAGTAAAATAATCAGGAAGACACCTAGGGGAGGATATGAGTCTTTAATATAAGATGGAAACACCCACACTAGGAGCTACTTGATTGACACAATTTTTTGACTATACCCCTGTTTATATGTCATAAATGGTTCCACCAGAGCTTCTTTTGTTTTTGGTTGTTTGCTCTTGAAAGAGCTCAGAAACAGAATGAGCTAGAAAGGGTTAACATAGCATGGATACTGACTTCCTAAAATAAGGACTTGAGGGAACACCACTTCTAAATACAGACTAAGTTTATCCTCTAGCTCAGGGGTCTCCAAACATTTCAGCATGAGGGCCAGCCACATCATATAGTTTACACATTTTAAGGGCCAAAGGAACACGTGCACACATGGGCTGAAGGGAACAGACCTGAGCCTGTGGATCTGAGCCTGCAGCATTCAATGGACTGGATATAAAGGCAAGGCGGGCCATATGTGGCCTGTGTATTTTGGAAACCCCTGCTCTACCTTGACCTTTACATGTTTTTAGGTAAGGGACAGCAGCCACCTGCATCGGGGACGTCTGAGTCACTGGATGCTGTAGAGGGGATGACTGCGAGGCAAGAGACGGGGAGTGCCTCGGTACTGTGTCTTCTGGTACCATATCCGCATCCAATTAAGTGGATAGGGAGAAGAGGACGGTATCGTGAGCATCAGGACCAGAATAAAGTGTCGTAGCCTGGACCGAAGAATGCCGGCTGCTGTACTTAGCACGCTTGGTGAGTGCTGTAGGTACCGTAGGAAACTGCCTCTTACGGGATGGTGCCTGTGGGGTGGAAAAATCCACTTGAGTTTGTGGCTGACATGGGATAGTGGGAGTCATGGTATGGTACCACGATGCTTGAGGAGCAGTAGAGCCTGGAAACTCCAGAGGGTAGGCATAGCCATGGTATGGGTACGGCTGGAACAGAGCGTAGAAAGGGTGGCCAAACTGTGGCGGGCCCTGAGGACGGTACCCATTGCCTTCATCCCAAGGCTGGTATGGAGTGGTATGATTGCGCTTTCCAGTACGCTTTCTAGGAGTGTTATGATCAGACTCCTGTTTGGATGGAGACTCGATATCAGCCCGCCCTGAGTATCAAGGGCTTGAGTGGGCAACGGCCCTGCTGGCGTCTGGCACAGCCTCAAATCAGCCTGAGTTTGGCAACATGCACATATTATCTTGAGCCGTCTGGGCTACAGGAATGTGCTCCTCAGTATCAGAAAGTCCGATTGCTTCCCTCGAAGACTCCTCGAGCAATATCGAAGGAGCGGGAGGAGGCACAATAGACAGCTTAGCCAATTTCTTCACTTTCTTTGGTTTATCAGTGGCCTTCTTCTTTGCAGGCATAGCAGAACGAAAGGCGCTTTGGCTTTAGGCGGTTTGGAAGCATCCTTAGCCTTAACCGGCACAGAGATGGTAAGCATCGGTTGCTCTGCAGGGGAATTCTGCTGGGAGGCCTCAGCACGAGGAGGAGACAGTGCTGGAAGAGAGGCGCTCTCCATGGCAGGAGAAAGAGTCTTTTCGTAGAGGAAAGACCAAAGTCTTTGGCGTCTTAACTTGATTGCTTGCTTAGAGAAAACTTTGCAGGCAGTGCAATACTGAT